GTATTCCTGACCGATATGTAGTACTGACCAGGGGAATCTTTGTATCGTTTGATGAGGTGGGTGGTGAAGAACAGACCTACATCTAGTAATAGACTCTCCTCACCTCCACTAAAACCCCACCAAATGTACCATAATCCAAGCTGAATGGCCCAGCCATTAGGGTTAGCTGTGCCGGGGCCAGGTTGGTGGTGAAGAGGATGTGTTGTATAAATGGGTGAAGGGGAAGCCGAACCCCACGCTTGAACATTTGAGGGTACATACCGACCCACCTCGGTGGAGGGTTGTCTAGGTATTCCCTGACCTAAGGCGCCTCATCCTGGTGCTATCGGGTATTATATATAAATCACGGAGTTCTTTAAGGTCATCCTCGGTACAGATGGAATGAAGATGTTCTAGCTCGGGCTTAGGCTTCACACTAGGCTGACCTCGGCTAGAGGTGGATGGCGAGTTCATGATAGGCTCTTTACTAGACGAATCGGATGCGTCGTCTCTCTGACCCACATAAGACCTAAAAAATATTCCCACTAACTCGGTAGAATAACTCATGGAAATAATTAAAAAAAAAGAAATACGACGAACCTAGCGATAGTTCCGAGCCGAGGACACCTCGAGAGCGAACTAAAGTTTGAGAGAATTTCTAGAATTTGCTTGGAAAAGAGAAGAATGAACTTCACTATTTATAGACCTTGATGAAATCATCTCAACCTTTCCTCAAATTAAAAATCAACGGTTCAATCCATTCCTACCAAAACCAACCAAGCATAACGTCATCATATGTCAACTCGACCGTTTGAATTCCACCCATTTTGTTCAAAGTTTTAGATCATCATGCCACTTTATCGTGACACAAAGCTAAACTGACCCAGCGCCTTAGCTCAGGGGGGAGCCAATGTTGGAGGTGATTTCCAACATCACACGTGCCACATCTTGATTGGAAGAAAAAGCTACACGTGGCTGATAGATTATAAAGCCAATTTTCACCACCTCAGTATGGAAGTTTAATACTGAATCAACGCTGAGCCAACTAGGATTCTCTTGTGTCCTATTCCCATTCTTTGGTTGAACCGACATGGATCTACTCGGCTCAACCCTATATTCCAACAGACTCTACGATAACATGCTGTTAGGGTTGATTTTTTACTGTAGAAACATGTGTCGGTAGGCCCTGTTTGACCACGTTTTTTATCCCTTTCCCATCATTATTTGCCAAAAAGGACCAAATATTCTTAAAGTAGAACATGCACAGAACATTTATGCATAAAAGTCAAACTATAGTACTTTAGGAAAAATATGAGGAAAATACGGTCAAAGTTGGAAGAAAATAACAGTTTTATGTTTTTGCAGAATTACGCCTAGCGCAATTTTGGAGGTCAACATGGGCAAAACGCACGTTTTGATTAATGAAGGGCAAGGAGGGTATTTTCCACATGTACAAACCAACTTAAAATCGTGAGTCCAAGTCCAAAAGGGTTTGTTAAGTGAATGTCAACCATTTCCACCTAAAATGGTGGGGAGTTCAAACAACCCAAGGTGCTATATAAGAAAGTCGTCCCTCCATCAGTAAATCATCCCTTCCTAGCTCGTTTTCAGCTTCATTTACATTCTATCTTCGTTGTCGAACTCGTTCTTAGTCTTAGATTCAAGTTTTAGTTAGTATTTCCTTCTATTTTCGTACTTTATTGCTTTTAATTCAAGTTCGATCATTTGTTCTTCGTTTATTCTGTTATTCTTAAGTTCTTTAGCGAGTTTACACTCCCCTCACGCTCGAGAGAGAAGAGGCTCAAGCTAGAACTCATTGTACAGCTAGTTTATTCGTTTTAATTCAACGAAAAATACTTCTTTTATGTCTTCGTGCATTTTCTCTCCTTTAAAATTTTTTTAAATTAGTTATCAACCTCTTTGTGGAATGCCTTAGTCAAAATGATTTGATTTTCAACACGCTTGGAATTTGACCAGAATTGTGCCTGACACTTTTTTGGGTTGGTTTCTAAAAACTTCTCTTTACGTCTTTTTTTCATCTGGCTAGTGGGAACTTGATTTATACACTGAAACCCAACCCTGAGAAGGGTGAGTTAGGTAAAATAATAGAAAACCAATATGGGATGTGACTTAGACATAAGCGCATAAAATATAGTCCTAGACATAGGCCCTCTAACCCATAAAGCAAATGAGTTGGTAATATTCCCTATGATTGTAATCACACATAGACGTATGATTGTAGGTTACCTTAGCCTCTGCAACAACCAAAAACGATAGTGAAAGAGTAGAATTCAGATTCCCAAAAAAAAGCTAGAATTGCCCCTGGTGCATTTTCCCAACGAAGTGTGTTTTCCATGTTTTGCATCAAAACTAAGGTAAGAATTAAGCAAAGAGGTTGAATTTTATTAAATTGCTTGATATTTAAAACCTCAAACAACAACATTTCATCATATTTGAACCATTTCACGACATTACTTGATTTTGAAAAGCAACAAGTCCCTGAGGATTCGACCTTGGATTACTTCAAACCCAACCTCAAACCTTGCCGAACCAACCTTGCACGAGTCTCTAATCTTTTTGAAGGTAGAGCAAGTCCTAACACATGCCGAGATTCATGGCTACCTTAAAGAGACGTTGAGGCCCTGTCAGGGATCTTGTCGAATAGTTTGCCTATAAATGAAGCCCATTTTCCCATTTTCCAGGTACGCGAACACAGTATTCATCTCTAGATACTGCTCGGATTCTTCATTACTTGGACGTCAGAGTGTTTTTTGTCTTGCAGGTCTCCTGTCCAGCTCTCTTAAGCTCATCCTCCAGGTCATCTCCTAGTCCGACCCGAGGTTTACGGGYTTGGTAATTTTTGTGATCAAACACAGTGATGGCCAAGTTTAGTCCAAAAGCTGAAAATCGAAATTTAGCCCAAGGTGCTGTCGATTTGGTTGTTATTCAACACCTGTTGTTTGATTTACGAATTGGTTTATCCCGTGCACCTATCCTGTGGTGTGATAACTTAAGTACAGTGCATTGCATTTAGGTTCGAATCCAATGCTACATTCTCATGCCAAACATGTAGAGATCGACATTTACTTTATACAAGATTTAGTACTTCATCATATACTACGTATTAGTCATCTTCCAACTTCAGCACAATTTGTAAATGTCTTCACAAAACCCCTGTCAGCTGCTCGATTTCTTACCCTTAAACTCAAACTCAATGTTCATCCTTGATTGATCATTGGTTGACTGTGAGTATTAAAACAGCTCACTGAGTATTAGTTTAGTCTTTTTTAATTCAGTTTTTAGTTTTATTACTGTTAGTCTGGTATAGTATCAGTTGTGCCTCTCGTACATACAATGGGTTATAAATAACACTGCCTTGATCTTTCAATTAATGAGGAAAATTTATTCATTTTGTCTTTTTTGTTGTAAAACTGAAAAATTATTATGAAGTTTTTACATTTATATAAGAAGTCCAATGGCACCCACGATTTCCAATATATTAAAACGTTGACACATTTCGCGTAATAAAAAGTAATGAGTTTACTAAAGGAAGTTGGTTGTAAGTGAGATAGTAAGGCATCTTTTGACTTGATAACTAGGATCACCTCTCCGTCTAACTCTATCTTAGCAGTGTGTAACAATATTGTCATAATTTTGTTGCTATATATTTGCTGAGTATGAAAATGCGTGAATTCTCACTCTTTAGTTTAAATACAGAATATGAAGTTAGGGTTGAGTAAGGTTGGGATTTGGCAATCATTTTATGTTTTTCAGCATGGCCATTTGTAATTGTATAACTTCTAAATTAAAGCTATGTCTTCGCAAATCTTAGTCAAATTCTAGCCTTTTGATCAATAATTTAGAAGATATATACATATACTACCAAACAAACACAAAAAAAAAAAAGAAGAAAAAAAGTAAATACCTTTGCAAAAAAACAATAAAAAAAATAATATCACATTTTAAAGCATAAAGCTAAAAACAATAAGTGACCACCAGGCCTTCGGAATTCACATGTCAAAAATCATATGACCTATGGATAAGAATCGTTAGATTTTGCAAATCACCCACTGTCGGAATACATCATCCTCCCCACCTTGAAACTGAATCCTAATTAATTTTTGTTGATATCCATGAGTGTTCGACACAACTTACGTGCATCTCAACTAATCTCATGAGACAGTYTTCTGATCTTACAACATTTGATGGTGAGAAACACATAAGAATTAATTTATAAGATGGATAGTCATCATAGAGTATTATAGTTTGAACTTATTGCTTTTCAATTTATCTTTGTCTCTTTAGACCAATGAACAGCTGTAATGATTAATTGAATTGTAATTAATTAAAATGTTACGACTGCTCCGCCAAAGAATACAAAATATTTTAGTTATACTTTATATAAGATTGTCCATTGGATATCATATTTCTCCAACTCTTGATAACATAAGGTCCAAGCTTAATTTCATTACAACATTAACACCAAAATCATTCAAACGCAAACAACAGCAACAGGATATAATATCACACGAGCAGAACAGGAATAGTGTGGTTTGTGAAACGCATTTCCGTTGCGTTGCAGGGAGCACACACAGCAGAAGATAATGGTATACCTTTCTCAACTATTTTAAGCCACCGTCGGCCAAAGTCCCGACTACTATTATTTAGTCCATAAATCAATGTTTGCCTAACGATTTTAGTTGCATTGAAAAAAAAAAACGTTAAAAAATCTTATAATTCCAGTGAGGTCTCCTAACTACTACATGGCCAAGAGACTTGGAGAATTATCCATCGAGATCTTTGAGTACTTGACAGCATATTGTGAACCAAATAAGTGAGGAATACTAATAGGTGACAATCCAAGCATATGGGCTTCTCGGGCCTCTATCCACTTGAATCTAATTATATAATTAATTTCAACCTAAAAAAGAAAGATCAGATGGATAACCTTTGCGGTCAATTAATACTCACCAAAACTATAATAATTAATAGGAAACTCACCAAAACTATAATAATTAATAGGAAACTTCAAAAGTTTTGTAACTATTTATTTCAAAAACGTGATTAAAGCTTATGATTCCAGTAGCGCAATTCAGAGTCAGAAAACGAAAGGAGCGTGAGCATGACGATCACTGCAGTAGAGACCAGGCCGCTGAGTGAAGCCTTGGCGCTTGAGCTTCTCCCGAGCCGCAAGAACGAGCTCCCGGTTGGTAACTGAGCCATCGGATTCGGCAAGAATGGTCTGAATTGCATTGCTGAGGGCTCCATAGGAGGCAGCAGCATTCCCCAAGGGAGTGGCATCGGCCGAGGTTTGGTCCGTTTGGCAGCCACTGATCAGAATCCCACCATCAGGAAGCGCCCGCTTGGCCGATCCTGCATACACTTCATTTTTCGTGCCCACTTGAGTCTCCAACGCAGGCTTCACGTACCCTTCATTCTCTTGCAGCTTCTGTTTCAGAAATTCCTGAGCCAAACCCCCAACCATTCCCAACAACCCTCCTCCTCCTCCAGATTGCCCACTTTCCAGCTTCTCCATGATCACCTTCATGAACTTCTTCACCTTCGGGCTCGCGTCTTCGCCGAACACGTCGAACAGCGTCGGCCGCAGCTTCCCAACGTCCATGTCATCTTTCCCAGTTTTCTGCTTCAGGATGTCTATGAGAGTGGGGAGGGGTAAGGATCTGCTTTTGACGTTCACTCGCTCCCCGTTGGAAAGCTCTAGTTCTCTCGGTTGAGCGGCAGCGGTGGCGGCAGCGTCGTCCTCGCGGCCGTGTTGGAATGCCGACGGGACGTGGATCCCGTGAGTTTCTAAGGCGCCTTCTACGCTTTGGTCAATGAAGTTTCTGAAACCAAAACGGGAGGTGTTTTCTTCTTCTTCATTGTCGTGCTTGGCGTTGGTGCTCTCTCCTATTTGCTCCTCCGCATCATCGATGAGACCGCCGCTGTGGCAGGAATCTGATACGATTGTGAAGCGGCATCGCTCCGGAACCCGATCTACCAGCTCCCTGAAATCGTTATCTGCTTGCACCAGAAAATGGGATGGAATTGGGTGAATGATAAAAGATTTGTAGACTAGGGATAAATTAATTAAGGAAACACCAATTTGGTCCCTCTTCATTGCATTACATTGAAAAATACCTGGCTCCTTAACAGTAACAAGAAATCTTGTCCTTGTCATCATTAAACATTTGACCAGAGAGAGAAATAAAAAACAAATTTTAGTTTTTAAATAGAACGAATTGTCCGTTTTTTAACAGGGGTTGAGGACCACATTAAAGAACCAAACATTATCCAACAATTAATTATAGAGATCAGAGAGATGGAAGACCGGTGATAAGGTTCATATCGGTGGGAACAATGCACTCGTCGTAGCCAGTGTCGTCGTCGTCCCCGGTCTCTGCAGGAAGGCGGGTGCCGTGGCCACTGTAGTGGACGAAGAGAATGTCGCCTGGATGGGCGGATCCGACCAGACGGGCAAGGGCGGAGCGTATATTCTTGCCGGTGGGTTCGGTGAAGGAGTCATCGGTGTCGAGTAGGATGCTGATGTCATCCTCGGAGAATCCAAAATGCTGGATCAGACACTCATGCATCCGTTTAACGTCGTTCATGCATCCCTTCAGCTCTGCATTGGTTCCTGGGTAATTGCATCCTATTAGAACGGCTTTCTTTCCCATCCTCTGTTTTTTCTTTTTTCTCTTTTCAAGAATTTGATTCCATTCGAACACCCGCTTTGTTGGCACCAATATAGATTAAATTAGACCAATATATAGATTTGTGGACAAAAGTATTGAGTGAGCGGATATTAAGGGAGAAAAGTAACTGCAAGGACCAGAATGGTATTTATTTATTTATTTATTTTTTGTAATTGAGAATTTGTTTACTGAGTATGTAATAGATAATTAAACCTAAAACTAAACAAATCAGTAGGTATAGAAGTAATAAATGTTAGAAAGAGAAACTACTTAAATTAAAATATATTATAAAAAAATTATTATTTTCATTATACTTTCGATTGCAAGGACCAGAATGGTATTTATTTATTTATTTTTTTTGTAATTGAGAATTTGTTTACTGAGTATGTAATAGATAATTAAACCTAAAACTAAACAAATCAGTAGGTAAAGAAGTAATAAATGTTAGAAAGAGAAACTACTTAAATTAAAATATATTATAAAAAAATTATTATTTTCATTATACTTTCATCGAATAGATAATGTAGTTTTGAATATGTACATTAATATGTTGAAGGGGATATATATTAAATCAATATAGATGGGATCAAGGAAATATTTGGTGGGACGGGTGGAAAGTATTAGTAAGGATCTCGTTCAAAACTAAATAAGGTATTTAACAAAGTTTAGAAAAAATGGTTACTTTAGAAAATCCTAGAGATTAAAATTGATACTGTAAAAGTTTGGCGATGGGAAGAAAAATCTTAAAAGTAAGAGTATATTTATTTAAGAGAAACCATATACATAGGTATTGCCTCACCACAGTCAGGTGGGAAAATACCCTTCATATTTCGGTAACATTCAAAGAAATAGCATAATTGGCCAAATGGGAGTAATTTGATTGTGACCTAGCTATGTCCTTTATGTTCGAAAGAAAATAGTCCTAATTGTTGGAATTTACGAGTTAAAAGCGTTGTAATTCATGTTTTTTTTTTGCAAAGGTAAATGTATTATATTAAACAAAAAAAATAGATGATCTCACAGCTCGAGATCGAGGTACAATACCCAAAGGGCAAACACAAGACAAAAAGAAAGAAAAGTAAATCAAGTAAACAAATCTCAAACCGAGATAAACATACGATAAGAACTCAAACAACAGCTCCGATTGTACAACGATAATAGACCTCAACTTTCAAAGCGCGCAAGAGTAATGAAGGCGATTGGCCCACCCACCTGCATTAACTATAGCATTACTCCCCTTTAGATAAAAGAAACAGCCGAAGTCCATGGCAAGCAACACACATGATGACGAGTAGACTTCCTGTTACTAATGTGACAAACCCAAGCAAGCTCAATAGATATGAAACCCGGTTAGAAGAACCCGCCGAAGCAATCATGCCAAACCAGACCTCCCAACTAAAGGGGCACTCAAAGAATAGATAATCCTGGGACTCTATACTGGCACAAAATGTTGGGTACTCTATCCTAAAACTCGTAGTTTGTAAACAGTGAACATTAATGTGAGGTTATTCAGACAAATGTTGTTAAATGAAAGTGAATTTGTTTTTTAATAAATCCAATAAACTACAAACCTTTGGCTATTATAATGAGTACTTGGACTTTATGTGGAGACATAAACTGGATCAAGTTCAAGTAAATAGCCTAAACAGTCTATAATACATGGATCAAGTTGGGTACCTTTTCCTAGAGACACTATTGAATACGGCACGCTTTATGATTGTTACAAATGTTGTAAGGTGTCATAAACGAAGTGATCCTGATTCGTTCGTGTAGAAACATGTGAGCGGGGGTGTTCTACACCATGAGATTTTGTAAGACTGGCCCTGAAATAATCACTGTTACGTATTAACACCGTTTACGGATAACACTGATTAATTTCGTTTATCGATGACCTAAATAACTTGATCTAAATCATGAGCCATCTATGAACTCCTATTTATTCAGGATTCTCCCTTGATCTGCATAGGTGAGAGTAAGCTCATCTGCTCAATATGCCTCCCATTTCAGGGATAAGACTGGATAGATAGCTGGGGACATAGAATTAGCAAGACGGAATTCACTCCTACCCGATTTAGGGATAGTAGAGAGGTTGTTTCCTTAAGGACTGATCCCGGGTCTTGAACAAAGGGCCCCATCCTCTCACTGGCCCGAGAGGAATCAGATTTAGTGATTTGATCCTAAATCAATTGTTCATTAGAGGGATAGTGGTACTTAAGGAGAAAAGATGTAACTCAGGGGTAAAACGTTTTTTTTGACCTAGCTGAGGTTACGAACGGCCTGTGAAAGATCAACTACCGATGACGGTTATATCGAATGGACACAAATATATCTACAGTGAGGGGAGTGCATCTACAGGCTATAGTGGACAGTTCTGTTAGTTAACGAATGTTGATTAACTAAGTTAAAAAGTTTGACCGGTTAGTCTCGAATCATTGGAGCCCATGATCTGTAGGTCCAATTGGTCTCCATGCTAGCTCATAAAGGATAAAATTGATGAACTAGGTGAAGCAAGAATTTGAAGTGTTCAAATTCGGTTTTTAAGAGAATATTGTATTTTATATGAGATATAATATATAATCTAATTGACATTTAATTATTACGGAGAGTATAACTTATTTAAATTACTTTTAAATAAGTTCAAAGCATGAAAAAGAGTTGTAATTTCATTAATGTGATTAATCAAGCTTAGGTGTCAAAGACCAATTAATATGAGATATTGATTTGGCTTGGTTTTTGTTTTAATAGAAAATTGATATTTCAATTTTTGTTTTTATAAAAATTAGTTTTATCAAAGTTTTATTTAAAAAATCAAGTTAGTGGAAAAATCCAACTTCAAAGTTGGATTTTCCCACTAACTAGTGGTTTTTGAAGTGTTTCTTCAAGGCAATGACACCTATCTTTTACATGCTAGTGGAGTTTGAAGTGGAAGGCATGCAAGGCTTGTCTTTGTATGCATTTGGTCTTTATATAGGTGATGGAGATCACTTGGATAAGGCTAATGCTTACTTGCATAAGTGCAGAATTTTTCCACTTAAATTTTTATTGTCTTCTCCTAGCCATTAGTGTTTTCCCTTTGTTTTCACTCAAAATTCGGTCCCACAACCGTGTTCATCAACCCGAGGATAGCACGAATTTGTCGTTGGTGGTCCCATTGAGTTAGGAGAAGAAGTTATAATGGAGGTTTTCAAAGGTATAAAGTTAATCTTTTTTCTCTTTACCTTTTCTATCATTTTTCCAAGCATGCTTATTTTGGTTAAATTGCTTCATTAAGTGTATTACGATCCTTAGCTTCCGCTGTGGATGTCTAAGAGTTCCATCACAAAAGACATAGGCAGCAGGAACGAAAGATTCCCAGCGACATAATCGATCCCCCGTAGCAAGCCAATCACGTACAGCCAACCAAGCAATGAAAGAATGCTTTGAAATATTCCCACTAAACCAAACCAAAGAAAACCAAGGAATAGTAGGTCGGGCTTGCTGCAACACACCCCATGCACTTGACACCGAGAAGAGACGTGACGACGGCAGTATCCAACTTGGCAAATCAACCCTCGCAACTAAAACCTACAAAGATGAAACCTTAGAAAGCAACTGTCGAATATCAGTCGACCCCCGAGGCCAGTGCCATAAATCATCAGGAAACATAAATTAAGCAACGTTCGCCTAGGACGAGCTTGCAGCATCATAAATAATCGGATCATCAAACGTCAAATAAATCGGACCCCCGGAAGCCAAGCGTCATGCCTCAAAAAACAACGCTGACCATCTCCAAATAGCAAACTGAACTAGAGGCCAAAAAACATCCCAGACAGAAAGAATATCTCACTAATACCAAGAGAACTGAGGCGAAGCGAAGCACAAATAGTCCAAATACAATCCCTCTGAAGAATATAAGCCTCAACCTAAGCGACCCAAAGAGAGCTAGCCCTCGTAATGAGAAGCCAGAGTAGCTTCATTATAGTGGCAGAATTCCAAGAGGCTAAGTGACGCACACCTAAACCACCCTCCTACAAAGGAATACACACCTCAAACTAAGGGTTGTCGAGACCCTCCAAAATAATTACTGATTTTACTAAATCTAACTTGCAAAAGTAATGAGACCAAGTCGAATCCCAAAGGAACTAATGAATTAATTTCCCAAAGTTAAAAATGGCGGGGTTTTGTATTTAAATTTTTTAAATTGAAAAAGATAAAGTAAAAGGAAAATGAAAGTCAATCTTACCAAACTTCCAATCCAAAGGTGTGATTTTCATCCAATTGTAATCTTGATCATAGGCTTTACAAAAAATTGATTTTGTGATTCAAGAACTTAGTGTTCTTACTCGGAACAATCGTGGTAAGTTTTAATTCCCTAATTTAATTAATTTAGACCAAACATCAAAATTAAATTTTATTAATTAATCAACTGGGCACGATAACATTCCATATTAATCAAAGAATAACATTAAGGATGATGAGAATGACTAAAGCAAAATCAATTAACTTGAGATAGCTGAAAGTTAATTAATTTTGTCTCGTTGTTTCCTTAGAGTCTATTATGAAAGCTATGTAAACATAGAAAAGCCATAAATACGCACACATAAGCCAACTCCTTGCTACTTATTTCAATCATTCATGACAAGTATGGATCACAAACTCATGGGTAGCAGTACAACAACTAATATGAATTAAGGCGTCAATTTAATTAATATAACTGTTCAAAAATAATAAGAACAAGAAACAAAGAATACTTGAAAAAGAATAAATCTCTATCTAACTTGAGCCTCCCAAGCTTACAATCGAACTTGAATCACCCTCGAGTTGGAAGAATTAAAGCCTAGCTACTCATGGTGGAGGGATCGAACTTGAATTTAGGACAAGAGAGCTTTTCGTTGGAACTTGGATGATGAATCTTCCAATAAGGCACCTCTATTTATAGAGGTTAACTTTATCCTCTTTTAAAGAGGAATTATCTCTAATAAGGAAATCATAACTAATTGAGAATTCATAACTAATTGGGAAGATCGTATTTAAAAGAAAACAAATTAAA